ATTTTTTTAATTCCCCTCCTCCCTCTTACCTGCATGAGATCCAAGTCATAGCAGGTATTTTTAGCAATAGGTTGTTTCCTTGCCAGTCTCATTGTCTCACTCTACACTTTTGGTTCCAATCCTGTTCACTTCCACGGCTATCTAATTAATAACCTCCCAATACAGCTCTGATTATTGCACTCTCTTGTTCAAACACTTCCGGGTGCTCCCTACCCAATAAATTCGGAACTCCTTATCGCATTCAATGGCACCCACGATATGCTTTAATCTCTTTCTCAGACTCTACTGTTCATGATGCCCACCTTTCTTTTCTTTAGCTAGGTTTTTAAAGTGCTTCCATACAGATCATGTTCGCTCCTCACAAAAATTGTGAAAGGTAAGAAATTCAGGTGATAATATGCTCATGTTTCAAATGAGGAAAACAGACCCGAGAAGAAAAGTGGATTGGTCAAGACTCCTTGACTAGAGAATAGCAAAGTCTATCCAGCCCGGGGCCAAGAGTTAACTCAAGGACTTGAGCACTCAACCTTTCTCAGAAAGGCAACCTGGCCCAACTAGATTGTCCACTGCTCCCAGAGCTCTGCCCTCCCTCAAGTGTTCACTCATGTAATCTTGGAATACTTTGCTCTGTTCTCCATTTACCTGAATCCTTGCTGCCTGTGAAGCTCTCCTCTTTTCCTCCTCTGACTCACAAAGTGATCATGCAATTGCTTTTAATCCCACTCTGCCTTCTTAGTCTCCCTTTTACTGTCTCAAATTATGATTGAAATGAATGATTCTCATTTAACCTTCTATGCACTTAGTTTTTTTTTTCTCCCAAACAGACTGTACACGTTATGAGATTCTGGCCCATGTCTTAAATGTCTCTGTAGCCTCCGCCTATTACACTTTGTAAATGCACAACAAATATTTGCTCTGTGTGTGTATGGTATGTGTGATTCAATTTTTTTTAGATGGCAGGATATTTCATATATTGTTTTATGTTATTGTTGTTTTCCAAGTGTAGAATATCTACATCATTATATCTAGAATCCTAGCCATGCAGAAAACCTGGTATAATCTTTATCATCCAGTGCACTCCGACAATACCTTTCACTCACTGAACATCCATTGGCATTCACTAAATCCTTAGTTAGCGTCACCAACTATTTTAAATAGTCTGCTAATGGCTGCAATGAATTAATATTCTAAGCAGCTAGAGACTCATTTTCCCATACCTTGATTTTTAATATCATTCTAACTCAAGCACACTAAATCAGAATGTAACTTTGTTTTTAGTTAAGCTGTTACTTTAATTGAATTTGGCCGTTCCAATGACTGGCATGCCTTTGCTTAATTGGAGCTTACCCTAATGCAAATAACGGTATTAAAGAAGAAAAAAGATGGTAACCAGGTCTTTCAGCTCGGCACAAATGAACAAAACATATTTCACCCACACACCATACCACAATGTATTTTTCTAGTATTAGAAATGTTTTGCTTCTCTAACGCAGTCCTGCAGTTGAGAAAGCTTTTCCGATGTCAGTAAGCTTCTGAATGGCACTCAATTGAGTTACATTTACCACAGGGCTCACCATGCTCCCTTTTACGTGTCCCAGCGGCTCATATCTAGAATGGTAATTTGTCCAGGGTGGTTGAGGAAGCCAGCCACTTTAGCTAAAACCCCTGTGTGTTGTTGCACAAAAGGAGAAAATGGATTCAGTTTGAATGTTCCTTAATTAACTTCCACAGACGGACAGCGAAGATTAGTGAAATACTGTTAGCCCCGACTTAATACTCTTCCCGATGAACAGAGGCCATAACCGTTACTGAAGTACTGAGGACTGAGGACAGTGATGGAGGACGTTTAAAGCCGCACAAAATGACAGCATTATTCTTATGTCAGTGTGTAGCTCATGTGAAAGTCTCTTCCAAACACAATGAAGGCTTCAGCTGTTTCTTAAAGATTCAATACAGATTTGGCCAGGTTGTGTTTCTGCACTTTGAGCCCCTGTTCTACTCTCATGTCACTGAGAGTGTGCACAGAGAAAACCCTTGGTCCTGGATGAGATCTTCTGATACTGGGACCTGAAAAGAGTCACTTGTGGTCCAGGTCTTGATCTTCTCCTATGCAGGCACAGAAACAACATCTCTTCGCTTCATTGAGGAATAACCTAGCTTTGGAGAATCAATTCACTTTTTAAAATTCCGATTGCTCTGAGTTACAAAGTTACAAAGAATTTATTTCTTATTAGTCAGGGAATGGATGGATGATTTGTCATCTAGTGTACCCATTATCACAGAAACAGATACACAATCAGAGCAAAGAGTGTTGGAAAGTCAGGAGGAATATTTCATCCAGATATGTAACAGCCTTGAACATTTTCCCTACTCCAATTACATAACTTTTAGTGATTGAAAGATTGGCTTTCCTCAGAAACAATACGTTTCCCCTCCCTACCAGTGTGGACCTATATTTATTCTTTTCTAGATTCTATGACAATTGCCTCCCTTCAGTTATGTCATTAGGTGTTACTTATATTTTAATCCCCTTGATGAGTTTCAGGATTCATTATAGCCTAGTGATGAAGCACATCAAATCTGAGTGAAATAGACCTAAATTTAAGACATATATCCAACACTTTACATCTGTGTGGTCCTAAGCAATTTTCTTAGCCTGAGTCCAGTTTTTCCATCGGCCAAGGGGAGGAGACCTATCTATTCCTGGAGTGGTTTTGAGATTTAACTGGATAATTCATGTAAAGTTCTTGGTACACGGTAAGTGTTCAGAAGAGACAACTGTTTGTATCGGTATTACTGCGCATGCGTGAAATTTGACTTTCTCCCCATTAAACCAGCATTCTTTTCTCTCTCCAAGATGAAAGTTCTTTATGGCTAGCAGTATTGTTTTCATTTATAAACTATGTATGTGACAGGCAAAACACACTTATAAGATGTCAACTTCTAAAATGAAAAAAGTATAGGTAAAATTAGTATCCCCATTTTACTGATGGAGAGTTAGAGACATGAATAAAATCTGACCAGACAGCTAGTAAGATATGAAGTATTCCAACAAAGATCACAAAGCAAACTCCTCTTACATAAGCTTTGGGTTTCTCTTTCATATCATTTAAAAAAAGTAAGTGAAATATTTACATGTTGAAAAAAAATCCCTCAAATAGACTTGTTAAAAATTTTGGACAAGCAAGAAAAATTAAGGTAATGACCTAGCTTGTTGCATGAGAGATAATACCAATTTATAATGCTTTACAGCAGTTAGACACGGAAATGTGTTTGATTCTTAGATTCTTCCTAGCACTTTCTTTACTGGGATTTCATACCCTTATAATGACTACCTTCCTCTTCATCATTTCGTATTGTATCCTTAGCATTCATGGAATGTACTCTGTTCTTTAAAATAAGAGAATTGAATAGAATATGCCCATATTATAAATCATATGAGGGCTACTTTTGCATGTCTTCTAAAGCCATTATATATTCTCCCATGATTTTATTATTATCAACGGAGATAACAAGCAACAATGTCTCTAGTGTACAACTATGTCCGTCCTAATCTCCAGACCCATATCTCCCATTCTCCTACTCCATGTCCAGCACTTTGAAACCATGCAGGCTCTTCAAACTAACATGTTCTAAATGAACTCATTGTTTCATCCCTAAACCCATCCTTTTCCTGTTCTCCCTAGCTTGGTGAACTGGACCACTGTTAACTCAACTGCCCTAGCTAGAAGCCCAAACATTATTCTTGTCCTTATCCATTATTCCTGTCCAGTCAATCACTATGTCATGCCCAAAGTAGGACATTAGTGGAAGTTGAGTGATTCAATAAAAAACTAAGATTCCAAACCAAAGTGCTTTGCCCTAATGCAGGAAGATTAATGGCTAAAAGTAGCAAATTCGTACCCTAGAGACATTTTGATTCATGGAAAAAGGGAAAAGACATTTTTATTTCCATATTTCTCTTAATGATATTTGTGCAGAGAAGTGTACGATAGATGTATTAAGATGACTTTCAACAGCGAAACAGAAAGACCTCTTGTCAAGTGATAGCAGTTAAGGTCAGCTATACTATGTTGGGGAGTACATACGGATGTGGGAGATTCTACTTGGCTGAAGGAAACTAACTCTCTTACTTGAAGAGACTTTCTGGTTTTGAAAGTCAGGCAAACGGTAAGGATAAAGATTAGCCAGATGAAACAAATAGAGTGTTTTCTGTTGTCTGTGTCTTTTGTTCTTTTGCATTTATTCTTCTCTTTTCTCAAGGCATAAGCTATTTCTTTTTTTTCTTTTTTTAAGTAATCTCTACACCCAATGTGGGGCTCTAACTCACAACCCCAAGATCAAGAGTCACATGCTGTTCCGACTGAGCCAGCCAGGTGCCCTATCAGGCACAAACTATTTCTTGAGCTGGGAAGATTAAGACCTTTCTGCTCCTTTTTCTATTCCAAAAGCGGGATTATTTCATGGTAAATGAGTTTCCCTCAGAAAGAGTGGTCTAGGATAAACCCTCCTCCTCTTTGCGGCAGGGAGCTGCCTGTTGGATTTCATTTTCCATACATTTATTATCTTTCTAGTTATTTGTTTAACAGTCCTGTCGGATGGGTTTCTTTGTTAAACAAGTTCAAATACTGAGATTAACATTGCAAATATAAGCTTTTAAAAGCAAGACAAAACAAACAAAAAGGAAACAAACTGATTACAATTGCTTCGATTCTTCCTCACGAAATTGGAAAAGTTTAATCATTTAATGGTAAATGGCATTGTAAAAGAAAACTGTACAGAGAAAAAAACACGTAAGTGTGACTTTTGCCTTTTAAAAATATTAACTCAAGAAAGACAAACTGATGCAGCCAACTTTGAAACTTAATCACACTATAAAACCAAACATAAAAAAACACGCATGCTGTAATTTTTTTACACTCTCATTTGTCTGTCACAGTTTGTGCCTGATGTTGGTCTGCCTGGTAGGAGGAATAACTTTCAATTAAATTAGTACTTACCATCGTCTTTGTCAGGGACGATCTTAACCTGAGCCCCTGGGAACTCTGATCCAATCCTCCCACCCATGGGCATGCTCAGAAGGACATGGAATGTTTCCTCCTCTTCATACAAGGAGTCATCAATAACAATGATGCGACACATTTTCTCGCGCTCATCTTTGTCAAAGCGGATGACACTGGTGTGGTCCTCGGGCCTGGATATGTAATCTGAATAGGACAGCACTGATGTGGGCACAGTTCCGCCTGCCGTGCCTGGGGACAGAGAATCCAAATGGTGTTTATGTAGAACATGTTACAAGGGTGTTTCCAGAAATAATTATTTTCATATGCAACATCTTCATGGTCAATTTGTATATCTGAACCTCCCTGGAAATTGCAATAGTGCCTACATACTGTTTTAGCATCATGAGTCCCCTTCACAGTGGTCTCAAACATACAAAGAATATTACATTTCAAGTGTTTTCTTCTCTACTTCCTGCCACTGGTCTTTCAGAAGAACACAACATTACAAAATAATAGCTCCTACTATTCCAACGCTTACTGGGTGCAGGCAAAGTGCCAAGTGCTTTACATGCATTACCTGCTTAATCCTCTCAACACTCTATTGGGGGTTACACATTGGAGACTTACAAAGTTAAACCATTTGCTCTGGGACCCAGAGCCCAAGGCGGACCCTGAAGTCTGTGTTTCAGACCACAATTCCTTATTGCCTTTCAACTCATATAAATACATTAATGGGAATTTTCACGAATGTCTGCTCAGATATCAACTGCCTATATGACATTCTCTTTTGCATTCTTAGAAAGTCTGTTTCTTAGAGAGATACTTAGCATATTAATGAATATTATGTATTAATTTTAATTTTGTATTACATAAAGTCACCTTTCAGAGGAGGATTACCTAATGAGCAAAAGAAATATTTTGAAATTCAGAGGCGGCTTACCCAATGAGTAAAAGAAATATTTTGAAATTCAGAGTTTTAAACTACTTTGAAATTAGTTTCTTTTCCTTGGGTATGTATTTTTTTGTCCCCCCACCCCCCCTTTAAAAAAAAAACCCTCTTCTACGTGATTGGGTTTGGGTGGGGGAAGGGTACATCAATCTCGCACTCCAAAGAGCTTTGAATATTAGAATAAGTAACCACACGAATCACATATGTTTTGATAAGTAACAGCAGTGGTTCCAGGCCCTCTTATCTCTAGTAATTGCTTTTTTTCTCCTCAGAGGAGTAATAGTGAAGGAAGACTTCTGGATAAATGCTTTTTTGTACTTTATGAAAACTGTAATAATAAAGCATATCCCTCAAGGCATAATGTTATGGTTCCAACATGTCAAAGAGGCTTACATATACATCTCTGGGGGGACAGTTCAGTTCTTTGGTAAATCGAGCTACCTTGTTGTGTATAACAGACCACCATCAGCTCCTGGCTCACGTCTCCCCTTCTCCTGACGGGAATGAACAGCTCACCGACATCTTCTTCAACAGAGTATTCAGACTGGGGAATAAATACAGTTGACTCTAAGGAGAAAACACAGTCGCAGCTGCTATTATTTTTGTCTGAGCTTCTAACAATCCGAGGCAAATTAAAATTGCTCTAACGATCAACTTTTTCCCCCTGGCATATTCTTTTAGAGTAACACAGCGTGAGGGGAAAGAGGAGAAGAGGGGAGCAATCATAGGTATAAAGCGTGTAGGCTCTGGGCCAGTGAATTCTTAACCTGGAGATAAAGCCCAACATTGCTTTTATCTCTAGCAATTGGTTTTTTTCTCAATCAGTGCTGCTGACATACTTCCTTTAAATGCAACTTTGTTCCCTTGACACAGGTCACCACCTTCCAGTGGCGTAGTCAAATTTTAGAGGCAAAAGAGATGTCAAAGTCACCTTGTACTTTACAGATGAAGAAACTCAGGTGCAGAGAGTTGAACTTATTTGCCAAAGCCTCTTACTGGTTGAGTCAAAATGAAAATTCAGATCTTGTAAAATCTGCTCAAATTTACCTCAAATGTGTTCCTTTTGAATGATTAATGCTTAAAAATATAATAATGCACTGTTCAATACTTTCTTTTGTTTGCTTGTTTTTTAAATCGCACTTCCTTTAGAATTCATGAATCTATTAGTCAGCTATAAGGAACATACCTGTGGTTTCCTTCCTCCCCTAGAGAAATAACAATAACACACAGTATACAACATTATATTTATAGAATAAGTCTCAGTGATTCATTTTTAAGGTAGTTGAAAGGCATGCTAAATAATAAAAATGGCATAATTAAATTGGTGAAAAACATAGTTCAATGTAAAACTAGGCTGAGTTCAGGAAAACATTTAGTTCAGTAAGTTGACATGATAACCCCCAAAGAGATACTTTGGTGACTGGGAGTCTGTTTCACTGAAGTCTCGCATACGCATAGAAAATGCTTCATGGTTATTTTTCAAACAATAAGCCACCCTGCTTTTGATGATTATAAAAGACTGTTGGAATAAGACATAGGCGCTCGGGGTCCGTGTCCCATCCTCTCCACCCTGCCCTGTGTCCCAGGAGCTGACGAATGTGAACCACATCAAAGGTTTCCTTGTGCTCTGGCTTCCCGATGGGTCAGCCAAAGGGGAGCACAGGCAGGACCTGGAGGTCAAGAGCAGAATGAGGTCTGCACCATTCATTCCCCTGGCTGCTTCCGGGTTCAGGGCTGGCCGCACCCCTTCCCCCAAGTAACTGTCATGGTGCCCACTGGACTCCCTAGCTCACTCTCTGGGCTCAGCTAACTTCTCCTTCCCTCAGGCCTAGAGGTGGTAACGGTGCCTACTCTTACTAGCCTTTATCCTCCTAGCCTTTATCATGCCTGGTGGTCTCCTAGTCTTTGCCCTCAACTTTGTAAATAGTCATACTATTACATTCTTTTTAAATTACTTAAATTAATTTAAATTTAAATTATTACATTTAAAAAATTGAGTATGTCATTTGTTTTCTTCTGAGATTCTGACTGATATATCAATGTAAAAAATGGTACCATTAAAAAAAAAAGGTGGTTATAAGATTTTGTAACTTATTATTCATTTATCAAACATTGATTGGGTGACTTGTACTTGTCAGACACTCCTACTAGGCAGAGGGGATATGGAAGTAAACAAAATCCCTGGTCTTAGGGAGTTTTCAGTCTAGTTGGGGGTGGGGGAGAAGAATAAAATAAACAAATATACAAGAATAGATGTCAGGAAGTAACAAGTTATATGACGAGAATAGAGTGTGCTGCAGGGGACAGGGAGGGCTAGGGCAGGGTACGTGCCATGGTGGGTCTGTGTTATATAGCAACGTATCTCTGATAGAGTCACATTTGAGCTGAGATTGCAAGGTGGTAACCAGATTCCCTCTGTGAATAACTTACAGAAGAGAATTCCAGGCAAAGGAATGAACAAGCGAAAAGGGCCTCAGGCCAAGTCGTGCCAGGTGTGTATAAGGAATGGCCAGGAGGCCAATGTGGCTTGAGTAAATGGAGTAAGGAAGAGAGGGCAAGACAGGGGACCAGAGAAGCAGCGATTGGGTGGGTGGTGGGAAGATCAGGTGGCGCTTTCAGGATCACTGGGAGGACTTTGGGTTTAAGTCAGAGTAAAATACTGTGTAAATAATCGAAGATTACCCAATGGGATGAAAACACAGTGGCTGGTATTCAAAGTTTGCCACAGCAAAGGAGTCAGCCACCGTCACTTATCTTTGGCAGAGCCTCAAAGGCAGGCTGAGGAGTTGGAGGAGATGGAAAGCTTTATAGGAGAAGAAAAGGAAGGCTGCAGCCGTGCCCTGACTAGAGGCTGCTGGTACAGGGAAGCTGTGGGCAGGCTGACTAGAAGTGGGGCATCCCATGTGACTAGTTATGGGAGCACATCTGGCTTCTCTGGTTGGTCTTAAATTGAAAATGAGGAGAAAAATCAGGGAAGCTGTCAGTTATTGATTAAACTTTGACCACTTGAGGCTGATTGCCTCAGAGGCTGTGGTGTCGCTTCCCAGTCGGTTGTGGGTCAGAGTTGTATTTTAATATGTGGTCTCTCTATTGCTTGTGTGTATGTCCATCCACCTCTCAATATAGAAGCATGAGAAGGCTTTGAATATGGGTGCTGTAACCTGACATATTTTAAGAACATTAAATATCCAAACTGAGATGTAAATTTAGCCAGTTGGGCATATAATCCTGGATTTCAGTGGACAGGTCCAGATGGGAAAGATAAAAGTGGGAGTTACTGGCATGCTGGCGTATGTGAAGTCAGAGTCAGAATGAAATCATTTAGGGAGGGATTGTAGATAAACAAGACAATGGATCCAGGGACTAGCCACAGGGCATTTAGAGGTCAGGGAGATAAGGAAGACTGAGCAAAGGAGGCTGAGTGGGGTCCCAGTGATGAGAACAACCAAGGGAGTGTGGATACTGGAGGCCAAGTGCAAAAAGTGTTTTAAGAAAAAGGGACCGATGAAATGTTTCAAATGTTCCTGACAAGTCAAGAAAGTCGAGAATCGATCATTAGATTTGGCAAAGGGAAGTCACTGGTTATCTTTACAAGAACTGTTTCAGTGGAGTCAGGGGACAAAAGCCTGAAGGAATGAATGGGAGAAGAGAAACTGGATCCAGACAAAAGGCATAGACATTTCAAAAAGCTTGCTGTCATTGGAGTGACATCTAGAGAAATATCGTGTTTATTTTTAAGATGAGTCTTTGTAAGGGCAAAATTACTCCTACTATTATGATGTAGGATTTTACCAAACATAAAATTTCAACATAGAAATTATCGTAACATTTCATTAGAAAAAATACACACAGTGCCATGAAATATTCAAGTCAGGTATTCAATGAGTTCCGATGAGTTTCTTTATTAACTAATGGAAATTAAGTCCAGTATCACTTAGGTTTTGGCAGTCCTCAGGTCATTTACTCCAACGGCATTAGTATACATATTACACAAAGTTTTGTTTCTTTATTAAAGTTTGCTGTGGACTGAACGTGTCCCTTGAAATGTACACATGGAAGCCCTAATCCTCAGAGTGATGGTATTTAGAGGTGGGGACTGTTGGGAAGAAATCAGGTTTAGATGAGGTCGTGGGGGTGGGGTCCTCATTTTGGGATTAGTATCCTTAAAAGAATGGGAAGAGCTCGCTCGCTCTCTCTGTCTTTCCACGCACATGCACCAAAGAAAAGCCATATGAGCATATTAGCAAGAAGGCAGCAGACCACAAGCCTGAATCTGCCGGCACCTTGATCTTGGACTTCCAGCCTCCAGAACTATGAGAAATAAATGTTGCTTATACCACCCAGTGTGTTATATTTTGCTATAGCAGCCTGAGCTAAGACAGAGTTGATCATATATAATACTTATTCTATACTGATCTATACCGGCCAGCTTTTAAAAATAAGTTACTCGTAAAAGTCCCACGTATGGCATTGTAACTACATACCTTGAGTCCCTCCTACGTGCTATGGCCCATGCCGGTTTGATTAAACAAGCCAGCACTGGTTGCTAGAGCCAGGAGCTTTGAAGTATGCATAAAGATGAAAGCTAGGTGTCCAGAGCTTGCCCTTAGCTCTGGAACCCACTCCTACACTTGGTCTGACAGAGGGTGAAGAGGTCCAGCACCACGGTTAGGTCTTCTGCTGACCGAACTTCGGGCAGAAAAGGATGGTTTATGGGCGAAACGGGAAAAGGAGAGAGGGAGAAAAGCTTTCCTGGTAGGTTTTTCTGGTTAACGTCATTTTTCAACTTCACTTCATATGTATAGTCGAAGCTCACAAGCTGACTGCTTCAAGCAAGCACAGCTTTTTAAGTGTAAGACCCCCCAGAGTGGCATCCTTAAAAATTAGCAGCTAAGGGCGCCTGGGTGGCTCAGTTGGTTAAGCGACTGCCTTCGGCTCAGGTCATGATCCCAGGGTCCTGGGATC